ATAGTCTAAAAAGGGAGAAACAGATCATTTAATTATGTTTCTTGCCAAGGTCATTGCCTATGTATTGGCAGAAACCAATAACACATATAAATTGAGTGAACTTGACTAAATTGAATGAACTTGAGGGAGTATGCTAGCCATTCCATCACTTGAATCTTAATGGTTAAAATCATTAAATAATAGAGGGGGATAGGGTACGGAAAGGCCTCAGTAAAGGGACTTGCAAAGATCACGGTTTTAAATTAGAATAAATGAGTGTATGAAGCCAACGGTAAAGGTAGAACCTGTAAATGCCTGAAGAGTTGAACCTTGTACAGGCATATGGTAAAAATTTCATTAAATTTTATTGAAATGTGGCAATGAAATTTCTTTTAGAATTATTTAAAAAGAAGGCATTTAAACAACATTTCATGTTGATACCTCTTGTTGTTTCAATGTTATGTCCCGGCCAAGAAAAGCGGACGGATGAACGGACGGAAAGACGGACGTTCTAACAGGAGAGTAATAATGTGGCCACTTTATTGTTCTCTCTAGTGTATTTTTTAGCCACACAAAAGAAAATAAGCACATAAAAGCATTACGGAATGAATTACATCAAAGAGAAAGAACAGTTACCTATTGTCCTTCTTGCCACATAATTACTCTATTGTGAGTGCGGATTGACGAACGGACGGACAAGGCGGCGACTATATGCTCCTCCGCAATTTTTCGGGGAGCATACAAATGCAGATTTATTTTTAAGTTTTAACTGAATACTATTTTGAATATCATTCAAACAAACAAATTGAGCATAATTATGTTGTCATTCATTGAGGTAAATGTAAATATCAACAAATGTCTATAACATTGTTAATAAATCTATTCACCCCATAACAACAAACCCCACTTTAAATGAGATTTCGCACCACACATGTGACAATTCACCACACCTCAACAGCATATTACAGAAGGATATCATTATGGCTGGTTAAGTTTCTAACCATTAACAACACTGCACAACACAACCTTGTGTTCAATAATCATAAACTGACAATATGATAATAATGGTATGTGTCTATATTTGGAAGTGTTTTGAACTACATGTATGAAACCTTCCTAGGTTTGAATTATCTCCTTTATGAAAATGGGGGCTTATTCTGTAAATATCAATGCTAGAGTTATGGGCCTTGGATAGTGATCTCCAATTATAATCCTGAATATTAAGTTTTAAGTGAGTACCTGCAGTAGTTTTGAAGATTGATGTAGAATGAAAAACTTCAACCAGGAATTTCTAGTTCACAAAGGCTTAAATTTCTGAAAAAAAATCATGCTAGAGTTATGAAACTTTATAATAATCACCAATTATGATAAAAATGTGTATTAAGTTTTAATTGAATACCCCCAGTAGTTTTTAATGTTGATGGTACATGGAAAACCTCAACCAAACTGTTAGGCTGATGCCACAGAGTCGGTAACTGTAAAAGCTTACAATGTCTTAATGTTTGTAAACCTTTCTTAAAAAGACTATTGAGATTTGACCAACATAGAAATACGCATTTAGCTTTTTCATCCAATCATAAATCTATTTTTCTTTGAATTCCCTGTGGTAGATTAGGCCTCCTTTTGAAAAAGAAATGCAATAATTTAAACTGTACATCTCAATAGGATTGAAGAAAATATTGAGAACATACTGAGTCAAAGTGTATAAGTGTGCATATCATTTTCCTTTAAATTAAAAAAAACCCCTCTTTTCAAGGGTTTTCCTTGTTACTCTTACTAATAAATTATTATCTATTTTTTAACATAAAAATCAATTATGAAATATTTTCTTTCTATTTATCAAAAGGTACAGTAACCTAACTAGTATTTGAAGTAAAAATTCCAAGGTCAACAATATTAATCATCTAGATAAAATTCTTATTTGGGTCAATAAGAAATTAAAAAATGTAAATGTTGTAGTCTCAAGTCTTTGATTGGACAGATTGTACAAACTTGTATTACATAGTTTTCGGTGACCATCGTTTATATAACAGACCCTGGTGCACAATATGTTGGGCTGTAGTAACTGGGTGACTACATGTGAAACTCACTGGCTGATGAATGCAAATGCTGGACATTCATGGATGATATTTTATGTAACAAAAAAATCAACCTATTGGGAATGTATGTGTATAATATTTTATAATTTAGCTGTTGGATTAAAACTATATTCCCTTGTAATCAAGAAGTTTGGTGTTCAAAACCGAAGAGTGCCTGAGTAGTTTGATAAATTGGTATAAAATTGCCCCCACTTAGTGAAGATTCGTCCCTGTTTATATTTTAATTTATTAAACATTTTTGAATTCATTGTGATGGTTAAAATTATGGTTTGGGTATTTTCTGTATTGATTTGTCATACTTTTATAGATAACATTTTATTCCAGAATAAAAAACATCAGTTTGATAGAACTTACAATTACTAAAATAATTAGTATATTTATCTTACTTTCACAGTTACAATTTATCAATTAAATAATTGTTATAAATAAGTGATATTTGTTTAATTTACACATCATTATTTATTACTTAAAACAGATTAATACATGGTTGACAATTGTACCTTCTTTAAATTATATCTTAACATAAACCTTTTTAAATGAAAATAATAAAGAACATCGTGCAATGATGATAATTGAAGTCGGGCGAATCGTTATCAGTTGTAATATTGATAACTTAACAATTAAAATGATAAATTTCTGTTCTTAGAGTTAGATTCAAGGCAGTGGCTAGCCTTATAAACCCGTACTGCTAGCAAAAGTTCTAGTCATATGTGAGGCTAGCCGTACGATATTTTTAAAAATAAATAAACTAAAAGTTAAACAATAATAAATACGCAAATTTGTGTTGCTAATAGAAGTTTTATTGAATATCCTGAAAAAATCAATTACTGAGGGTAATATTAACTTTTTGCCTTCGATGATTGGAAGTTGCTTTTTATTCTTTTAAAAATCAAGGACAATAATTAAAGTCCGAATGAAAATATGAAAAGAAATTAACTTTAACGTTATTATATATCATTTGTATGGAAAATATCTGTAATATATAATAGATTAATAATAAAATGTAATACAAATTTCATCTGAAACACTTTTACCAGGCATTGAAAATGACAAGCTGGTTGTCTCCTCACCATTAAAATATGCAGCGCACCTGTTTTTTACGACTGCACATGAATGCTACTGTATAATTGACACCAGTAGTTAGATCATAACAAAGTATTGTTTTTTATAATAAACTAATATTTTACATAATTTCCATTGGCTAACAAAACTCTTCAATTAAAAGAGAATTTATTTTTGATAGATTAATCCGGTATCTTGTCATAATATAAATGGCCGAACATCATCGGTAATAGTATTCAGAAAAAAATGTGTTCATTCTTTGCAAAAATGTAATAAGACCTGCAGATTACAGACTTCATAATTGCATTTATCAACTATTGAAAAATACAGTACGGCTAGTCACAACAGTGAGTATTAGCTAAACGTATTTGACTCATGTACAGCTTGAACATTTGACACGCTGTACAGGCCCGTATGGATACCCATCTGCTAGATTCAAAGAACATTTCATTTTACAAATAAACGGTTACTAAAAGAATCATTTAATCTTTTCATTTCTAAATTTCGATCACCTAAAGAACGTTTAAAATGATTGATCTAAAGTGGTGCAAATGGTCGCTAATCTGAAGCGAATCATCACAAAAGTCGAGCAAAACCTTATGGGGCGAATCATCAGTGGAGCAAATCATTTTCATTTTAGTATTCTTCAGGTTTTCAATAAACACAAAGGAAATAAAGAACATTCTCAATGTGTATATGTAAATTGTTCAGTTAAAATAGGCCGCTGAGCATTGCAATTTGTTGCTAATAATGTCATTTAAGTGATTATCGAGAAAACTAGTGACATTCCAAATGAACACTCGTAAGCGTTAAGCAGTTATGTTTTTCTTTAAGAACAACACAAAAACCTACATTCTGCATTTTCCTTTACACAAATCTTTTGTTTACAAGTACTTATCAGCAAGAAACTGACGATTTTTCTCCGGTTTGTGAAATGAATTTCTCCTTTGTGTCTTCAATTCTTGCCGATTTAACTTCCTTGTTTTTACTCACATATATCGTGTATATAAATTTCTTTGAACGAAATCATTATTGCTGTAAATATTGCCGTTGATAACCTTCATGAAATATCTTATGGCAGCTAAAAGCACAAGTTTTCACTTTAATCGACGATTTACCGTCCGCCATTTTTAAGATAATCTACTGCAAAGTTAAGAAATTTCTTAACTTTAGGATAGTTTAGTAGCTGACTTATATTTAAGACAAAAATTGTCCATCTTAAGACAAAACTTAAGAAAAAATTAGTTGTGAAAACCACTTAAGTAAATTGCAGATTCTTATCTTAAATCTAAGAAAAAATCTCAAAATATAAGAAAAACCTTATATTTAAGTCAAACAAAAACTTAAGATAAGTTGTGAATAAGGCCCCTGATGTTTATAATTTTGAGAAACTATCTCCTAAACATTGGTTTTCTTCGGCAAATGTGAAAGACAGAGAACAATGTAACTTATTTCAAGTGCTAAGCAGTATAAAGTTATATTAAATTTGTAATCGATAAATTATCATAATAAAAATAATTTGGTTGGTTTATAGATAAAGCAGATGGTGCAATTTTACCCAAACCTACTACTGTAGTGAATAAATAATTGAAAGCTAAATTCTGTTTTTTCTATTCATTTCTGTGCAATATCACAATTTATAAAACCTCCAACTCATATACTATATAGATAAAGCCATAAGATGATGAAAAGAACGCATGTTTGAAACTTAAACGGTATATTTTGCCAGTAATAGACTGCACATCAAATTCTTAATGCGAACTATTTTGATACAATAAAAAAAATTTACGAACGCAACCTTATTTATTTCAGTATAATATTTATGATTATTTGTAATGATATGGTTAATTGCTATGACAGGAAAGGAAGTCAACCGTCAGCTGGGGATTGTTCACTTACCTCATTCATGTACTTTAACACCGAAGAGCTTTGGGAGACTGAAAATTGTTATAATAACCATGTCAAATTTTTCATCTGTGAAAAACCGTTTTCATTGGAAAACAAGATATATGACAGTATGTGGCATATATTTCTTTCAATTATTCCATTTATTCGTTTAAAGGGATTCCAAAAATAACTTTATTATTGATAGTTAAAACAAAACCAATGCCTAGTCGTCTAGTCTACGCCATTGTTGTAATTTTTGCAAATATGTTTGTCTGTCTTGCAATACTTTAATAGCAACATGATTGATTTGTCCACTTAGAAAACTCAACTAGAATTCATAGACAAATTAAAATCATATTTTGTATTGAAAATAAAATATATTTGGGAATCAATATTCTTTCTAGGTGATTTCACGGAGAAAGATGTGTGTAATAATTATGTAGAGAAAGACCTGATGACATCACCATACTCTGGTAGAAATTGTCAGAATTGGTTTAATCTATCTGACAATGCTAAACGTGATTTTGATACCAACTTTTCCGCCTTATGGAGCACTTTTGAAAATTCAACTGTGTGTAAGGATCCCTCTGCACACGATATTCCATGGTGCTATGTCGGTTACTCTGAGAAATTAATGCGGGAGCCATGCTTTTTGCAACGCAAGTTATATTCATATACTTAATGTATTTTAGCTCACCTGAGCAGAAAGTGCTCAAGGTGAGCTTTTGTGATCACAATTTGTCCGTAAGTACGTCTGTGCATCAGTGCGTCCGAGCGTCTGTACGTCCGTCGTCAAGTTTTTAAACAAACAACTTCTTCTCAGAAACCACTAGGCCAAATGCGATGCGATGCAATTTTCCTTGGATGTTCCTAGCATAAAGCTCTACTAAAATGGTTCTGGATAATAACACATCAGGATCAGCAGGGCTAAAAATAGATTTTTGAAATGAAAAAAATATATAAAATTTATAAAAATTCTCCTTTGAAAGTGTCAGGCCTTGAACTTAAATATTGTGTACGTCACATCATCTACGGCAACTCTACAAAAATTGTTCAAATTACAGCCCTGGTGTCAAAATTGGCCCCGCCCCGGGGGTCTTTGATTATTATTATATACATAAAGTAAAAAATCTTCCTGTAAAAACGTAAGAGCTAGAGCTTAGATATTTGGCATGAAACATTTTCAAGAAGGTGTCTACCAGGTTTGGTCAAATAAAAGCCCTAGCGTCGAAATTGGCACTACCCATCATCGATTTTCCATAACTGTATATAGTAAAACTAAAAGAATCTTTTGTGAAAATCCCAAATCAATAGAACTTAGATATTTGGCATGAAATATTTTCTAGTGGATGTCTACCAAGTTCGTTCAAACAAAAGCCCAAGGGTAAACATTTACCCTGCCCCAGGAGTGTTTGATTACCGTTATGCAACTTAATAAGAATGAATAAAGTTTTGAATTAATAACCAGAAAATAATTGAGATTTTTTAATTATTATTTTTTATGATTAATTAAGATATGAAGAACATATTTATGTTATTAAAAATAAATTTATAAATCTTCCTTAACCCAATCATGTTTCAAATAAATTCAGTATATATAGCAAGAGTTGACTAATAGGAGATAGGTTAGTAGCCATCCGGTTAGCTCAATAGGTAGAGCGTTGGACTGTGAATCGGACGACCCGTGTTCGATTCCCGGAAGGCCGAGGTCACTTTCGTTGTGATTGATCATGAAATCCTGTCTACGATCATTTGCACTGTACTGTTGCTATGGTATGTACAGAAGTCTCAAAAGTGATGGCAACTAGTACTAGTAAACTGGTTGACACCCTGCCTAGGAACGATGCGGTGGTTGAACTGTGCTCTGATGAATTTAATGTGGCTTACTGCCGTGATGTTGAGTGTCAATCTACCAACACACACACACACACACACACACACACGCACGCACGCACACACACACACACACACACACACACACACACACACACACACACACACACACACACACATAGGTGATATGACACACTGGATAGTTTATCTGTTGGCTATAGTTGTTAATCTGAAACTTACCAAAATTAATGCAGTAATAAAACATTTGATTACATTATGGTTCAAGCTATTGGTGTAAGTTGCAATTGTCATGTTATGATTATTGTAAACGAATATATACTGTCTTGCCCTATATTAAGACCCTGTAACCCAACATTGTTTATGGTTTTATACCATAGATCTGATGGTCTTGGAACTTTACTTTTTTCTTCAAATTATGCCATCATGTCAAAATTGGCCCTGCCCCGGGGAACATTGATTTTCCATTTATGTATACAGTATGGTAAAAAATCTATTTTTTTTTTCTAAATCTACAGAAGCTAGAGCTTAGTTTCCATAGCAGCCAGTGAGTCACTTCATAGTAGCCATTTACTTAAAATCCTTAAACTCAATAGTTCATGGTTTTATATCATAAATAAAATGCTCAAATGAAGATTTTTCAATATTGTATCAACCTGATCAACCTGTAAAGTCAAACAGCAACATTATTTCTGTTTTTTTTTCATATTTTTATTCAAATGATATGCATAAATTTGTTAAAATGATTTTAATTTTCATTTAAACGTCAGTTGAAGGTAACCCCTCTAGAAGGCATGAAAAAAAGGTACCTGAGATGAAGTGCGTCGTTGGTTCTTTAATACCGAAAGTTAATTGGTGTGATAGGACATTTGACTGCTTAGACTTTACGGATGAATTGTCATGTCAGGGCAAATTTAAAGGTAAGCATTTCGTTTCCATAACATTTAACACGATATTGTTGTTCTTAAGTTAAGTTTCCATGGCGTATATGAGAATTGTGCAACTTATTTTTTTGACAAAAAAAAAACGAAAACTTTAACAAAGTCTTTTTAAACACCTTAATGAATGCAATGCTCAATATTAGATCCATAACACTTTTTTCTGAGACTGACAAGCGTGTTTTTGCGCTTCTTTAAAAAGCCAAAATATTAAAAGGTTACATTGGCATCCACACCTCCGACGATTTAAAGTTGATTCGACATCGCTTGTCTTGAAAAAAAGAAGTTTTATTTCAGATAAGTGGCTAGATTCGGTGTTCTGATGGAATGTCATGGCTTTTGTTCCTCGGGAGACACGCTTGGGAACATTTGTCTTTCTTTCTCAAAAAGGCTTTTTTTAACATTTGGTTGAAATTTTTCTGAGAGTTCACCTTTATTTATACATATATCGATATTTCGAATCTCGAATTACCGCGTCAATTACATCCGTCAATATAAAAGATAGCCTCACCAGAAGTGATAATTTTTATTTTAACTGTAAGCATTTCAAGTAATAGATAAAGTTTCCAGCATATTCCTTTGCGCTTTTTCACCAGGTTTGCAACGAAAACCGGGTTATAGTAATGCCGAAGTTTGCTTTCGTCAACTTTGGTTTCCGCTCAATACCGTAAAAGTTTTTTTTTCTGCGGACTTTATTTCTGCGGCACATTCTTTGGACTAAACGTGATTTAAATTCTGCGAATCGTCTTATCAAAGTCTAAGTCACATTACCACTGTCTATTATATTTGCATGTACACGTTCGCGTTTGTTTATCGACGTTGCGGCAAAACTGTAAAGTAATTACAAGCAATAATATTGTTTGCTTGCAAAGAAATATAATGCGCAACAATAAAAAAGTATACATCTTTGATCAGAGTGAAGTGACGTGTGAAAAATATATCCCGGTTGTATATTTAATTGAAAAAATTGATATAGGTTTACCGTAAATCAGATGACAATTAAAGTATATTACGAGTATTTAGCAGTATAAGGGTTGGAATGGCATTAAATATCTTTATTCTTAAATTAGCATCATTAACAATACGTACATCTTTAGAAACGCAGATTACATACTTACGTATCGCTAACCTTTATAATTTGTTAGTCGTTATTACTTAAGACGAAACAGGTCATAATGTAGGATACATATCGTTGCAGGTAAGAGAAATATTCTGCTTTTTTATTTCTGCTGTGCCGAAACTGACCGCAGAAAACGTAGAAATAAAGCCACCGCAGAAAAAAAATACTTATACGGTAACTTGAGTTTGCTTTGGCCTATTGACAGCAAACTCGGAGTGTAGGTATCTTATATCAAGAGACAGCTTTGGATTGCTATCCAGGTGTCTGTGATTAAGGTCAAGGCCACTATTATTAAAAAACGAAATTCAGTTTCCACTGCGTTAGCCTATTGAAACCATTTTAGTGTATGGGTAGCTTATATCATGTTGCAGCTTATGCATGCTATCCAGATGTCTGTGATTAAGGTTAAGGTCACTTTTGCTAAAAAATGTGTTTTGCACAGTATCTTTAGTTTGTTTAGGCCTGGTAGCTCATATCAAGAGGCAGCTTGGGAATGCAACCTAGATGTTTGTGATTAAGGTCAAGGTTAATGTTGCTAAAATAGAACTTCAGTTTCCGCTCAATATTTTGAGTTTGTTAGGCCTATTGACACCAAACATGGTGTATCCTGGGTAGCTTATATCAAAAGGAAGCTAGGGATTGCTACCACTGTTTCTCTGACCTAGGTTAATATCACTGTTTCTAAAAATAGAAAGGAAGTTTGCGCTTAGTAACTTTAGTTTGCTCGTGTCTATTGACACCAAACTTGGTGTATGGGTAGCTTATATCAAGAGGCAGCTTTGGACAGCCACCCATTTGTGTTTGATCAAAGTCAAGGTCACTGTAGCTCAAATTATAAACTAAGGTCTCGCTCAATATATGCAGTTTGCTTAGACCTATTGACACAAAACTTAGTATGTGGGTAGCTTGTATCAAGAAAGTCAAGGTCACTGTTGCTAAAATTATAGATTACGTTCTCGCTCAATATCTTCAGTTTGCTTCGACCTATTGACACACAACTTAGTATGTGGGTAGCATGTATCAACACACTACTTGGGTGGGCGTCAACTGTTGCTTAAAATAAATATTAGGTCTCCGCATAATAACTTGAGTTTGCTGAGACCTATTGACACCAAATGTGTAACTTATATAAAAGGCAACTTGGGCTTGCTACCAAGGTTTTTATGAAAAGGGTCAAGTTCGCTGTTCCTTAAAAAAAGGAAATATGTTTCCACATAATAACTTTAGTTAGCTGTGACCTATTTACACCAAATACCTAACTTGGCATGCCTGTTGCTTACGTGAAAATACAACCAGACATTGATAGTCAGGTATCTGTTATATCTTTATACTAAACTAGAGAAACCAATGTTCTGTGGTGGAGCAAAAACAGAATCATTTTTTCTTCACTGCCATATTTGATTCCTTATTCCTGTCACATCGATACTTCGTTGTTCAAAACCTGCTTTTCATCGCATTGCGGCGCTTCTTGTTAATTGCATAAGCCGATGTACTTGACAGTTCTTTCGTAATTTTGCTTTCAGATTTTTTAGATAATGTTATATTTAGTTCCCTTTAACACCCCAAATTTTGAAACCATTTGTTTTCAATAGGCTAGTTCACATTGGCGATAAATCTTCCATATAACGTCAGTTGTTACAGTAGTTGCCTGAAAATAGTTGACGAAGTCACACTGTGTTGTAACCTTATTTGGCAGCAAATAAATCTTATAGAGCCCAGAGAAATGCTTTTCTTTAAAACAACAACTAGCACAATAATTTGTATGAAGATATAAGAGCTAAAAAGTAGATTAATAAACATTTTCAAAACTCAAATATTAGCACGTTTAACACATTGACAAAATTGGATTAACACTAGATTTTCTATTTACAATATATTTACAATTTTAGCCATTTTCTAGTTATTATTTTATTGTTTGATATATAAAGCAAACGTGATAAACATTGTTTACCTTATTTTTTTAAAACATTCATTTTCTGAATAAACTGTATGTTAACAAAGAACTGTTCCAATCCATTTTGTATAAGAATAATATGATTATTTTTAAAAATTTAATGATTATAATGCAGCAGAAAAATAATGAATTAATTGGAATGTGTACATTGTCCATGGTTATTTACAATTTATTGAAACACTATCTCCTCCTTTACGAGTTGGATAATCATTCGTAGGTGACCCTTTTCAGAATTTGAGTAAATGGTGCATTGCCTGATACAGAAAACGAAATGAAAAGTTAGAGCTTAAATGTTTATTCTTTAATAAAAATCTTCTCCAAAACACAATTTATATAGCTTAGAAACTACTAGAAAACGTCGTCTTAACGACCTTCAAACTATTGCCCTAAGTTTGAAATTGGCGCGTTCTTTACTTATATCCTCTACAATCCCAGAGGCTAGATAAATATATATTGTGCATCAAACATAAACAATTTGAGCTCAACCAAATCTGTACATATTCAAGCTGAAGGTTACAATTGGTCAAAACACTAGGGTGTAATTGTTATAACTTAACATTTTTTTTTTTTTTTAAGTTTTTCTCAACCCTGAACCCGCAAAGATATTTTGCATGAAACATCGGATTGACTGCCACAACGGTTACTCAAAATATAGGATTTTTGTAAAATAGACCCCCACCCAGCGTCACGGGTTTTCCTGAAAAAATTAATACAATGTTTTACAAATATCGGCTCTGATCCCGCTAAAGGTAGAGCTTTGATATTTAGCACGAAACAATTTATGTAGACTTTTACCAAGTGTGCTCACTCCATAGCGGTTCTGTAACATTTGACCCTGCGTCAGGAGATTCATTTCTTTTCCATAAACATTGATTATAAAATGTAGTGAAAACATGATAATCTTCACTCTAAACCCAATGATAGTAGTTACAATTGTCATTTCAAATTCAGTACCAACAACTGCTTTTTTAACAACCAGTTTTCATACATAACATGTATTTAGAGCCGAAAAAGTCAGGTGACTGATAATTGGGTAATTATGAATCGGTAATTGATTTTCATGATTTTTTGTTTAAAGATCACAATCTGACGATTTTTGGCAAACCAATGATGCAATCTAATTTACCTAAACGACTAATTCGCGAGGCATATTTCACCTGTGAACATAGCAAAGAGTGGATATCTACATTAGCTAAATGTGATAAGGTCATAGATTGTATCGATGCTTCAGACGAAGTCAATTGTTCTCACGATAAAATTGGTATTTGGTCTTTTGAATTTACACTTTACCATTAAATTTCCCATTTACTTTCTGAATTTTTCAAAAGAATAGGTTAAGCACGGAGGAAGGTAGTCTAATACTGGTGTAACTCTCCAGGAACGATGGTTAGAAAACTACCCGCCTATATGACTGAAATACTGTTGAGAAAAGATGTAAAATGAAACAAACAAACAAAGGAATAGTTTTTTTATACGATGTTACTTTTACGTACAGGCTTGAAATGAAAAATATGTTTCAAAACAGATAATTCTATCTCTTTTACAGAGTTAATGATTTAATTTCTTTCGACATAAAATTAATTTATAAATATAAGTGTTCGAATTTGTTTGACTTTAGGAGCTTTCCACTTTCCAGTATATAAGCAGTGACTTGATGTTTATTTCTTTATTTACACAACCTCTGTTTGTTAAGGAATATAAAATTATTATGAAGTTAAACATGTCCGATTATCAAGCAAAATGCACTGCTATCAGGGGATGACATGTTTATGTGTACATTTATCTATTTGCATATGAATTGTGTTCTACTTTTTCTATATTATCAATTAATACTATATATTTATTAGGATGTGATGACAACGAATTCTCTTGTGATGGTGGACATTGTATTCAATTTAGTCACGTGTGCGATTTTATATCCGACTGTGTGGACGGTACAGATGAAAAATGTGGTAAATAGTAAAATTAGAATTCAGAAAATTATATTTTAATATATTTCTTTGACTTGGCGTCCGATCTTAAAGACGTTCGTTTTACTTTTTTTTTTTAATTCTAGCAAGCCTATAACAAATGTCTAGAGACACGGAAAGTGGGTTTATATATGTATGGATACAATGTTTATTGTTGTATAATGTAATTGATATTATTGTTTTAAATACAAATGCTATATGCTGAACATCATGATGACATACGTTATAAAATATAAACAAAGTGCCGATAAGTGCTTTCAATAATAATGATAGTTGGGATACGTCATAAAACTTACATTTTCTCGACGGATACGTCAACAATGATAATTTTATGAAACAAATTGTGAAAGCATAAACTCTTCAAGAAAAACGTTGTGAAATATTATTTCATGTAAAGATTAAAAACCAAAATGTATTTGTGTAACTAACTTACGAATACATGTCAAGTTCAGAATTCAAAACTTTATTTGACTCTTGCATGTTCTACATTTACTGTATATTGATCGTTTTATAAACATTTGTAGAATACCAAAAGTGTGATAAAAATGAATTTTCTTGTGATAATAAACAGTGCATTCCATCAGAAAAACTCTGTAATGCTGTGCCTGACTGTTTGGATAATAGCGATGAAGATAACTGTGGTTGGTATAAGTTATTATATAACTATAATAATAAATTAAAAGATATAGTATAATCATCTTTGAATAAACTATTTTCTATTGCAGATATTGTTTCATTTAAATACATGTATATAATTATAAGTTCCGGAATACGATTATTACAATAATGTGGCTATTTTGTAAAAATCAAGGTTCATAAACACATGTTATCTTACCATTTAAGAGTCTTGCAGAAATTCATTTCTTTGTTCTGGTGATTACAAATGCATTCCTCTTCGTCTGATATGTGATCGATACCCTGACTGTACGAACAGGAGAGATGAATTTTATTGCCACAGTTTGAAAATTCCAACATCTTCTGATTTTAGCCATGAATATATTTCTCTGACAGGACGGAAAGGTGAGCAAATTTCTTATGTCAAGTAATTGCATTCTCAAGAATTTGAGTTATTTTGAGAAACTGTTTAAAGCAAAGATGACAATAGAATGAGTGAACTTTACGAGCTACGAATGTCCTTTCAAATGCAATTTTGATAACTTAACTTCCTTTCTGTCCCGTTTCTAAATTGTTTTTATTCGGTTGCGAAGCAATCGATTCTTAAATTAATTCTAATAACTTAAGACGCATGATTTACTGAAGAATACACAATTTATTTTGTACTTTTTTGTCCTAAATAAAAACAAAAGTAAATGAACACATTCATGTACATAAGCTTAACACTGCGTGACCCATTTTAATTTATTGCTTTATTCTAAAATATCTTTATTTATAATTTCTTTGAATGGACAAACAATGTGTTCTTATCTCTGTTTACAAAAAAGGGACTAAATAATTGTAATTGGGTAGTTTACCGGGACAAAATATCATTCAATCAGGTTAAAATTAGATTGTGCCACCATCTGAAAGGGCACTGTTTTGCATCAACTTCAGATAAGAGCATCGATGTAAGTGTTCTTGCACTGCATTGTCATGAAATGTCGTTAGTGAAATAAATTATCTATTTTAGAAACTAGAAAATGTTCGTTTTGGAAAATATCATATCTTAATTTAGAGTTTCTTTAATAGGAACTTTTATATGTTGTTGGTAAGGCATGAAAGTCGATTAACATATTACAAATCTGACGAAAATAAAAGCACAGGTGTTCCCTCGTTATACTTGGCCAATAGATAAACCATTTATATTTATGGATTAATAAATAATTGTTGCCGCATTATTAAATGATAATAAAACAAACTACTTTGCCTGTTTCCCTGCATACAGCATTAAACCACATTTTAACCACCACTACTCGTAAAACTTAGGAAATAATACATGCAAACTTTTTGACTTTTAAAAGTATGTTTCTTCTTTTTTGAAATGAAAAAAGAAAATAACTCAAAATGAGACCTTTTGTTTAAGATTCCTGGCACAATTTTCGGTAATTTTCTTTTCGGCCATGACTTAAGTCGTCCCATTGCAGTATCAAACGAGTATTAGTGCAGTCGTTATGAAATTGTCTTGACGTTGCGTTTCCCTTTCAACGCGGGAAATCGTCAAAGAAACATTTTATTCGGCCCTTATCAAGGTGTGAATTACACAGATATGTTGTTGTGTTTCACCGTTCCTTTTCCGCAATCACTTTATTGCGTTAACCTTACTAGCTCTTTGTCAGTTGTAGCGCTAAATTGTGTTCTTTCTAAACATATCAGTTCATTTTTTTTCATTTCAGTCTAATTAAAAGATAGTATGATTGTTGTCATAAATAAATGAGCAGTTTCATATTTCAAACATTTCTTGTTTAGTCTATTTCATTCCAATGATTTTGTTGTGTTCGCATATGGGACTATAAAGTAATATTAGAGAATAACCTTTTGATCAATATTATTTCTACTCACACACTAAAAATATCAATAAATATAAACATTTCATCGTTCGTATTTATACCCCTATCTCAGAAGTACATATAATGTATTTTAATTGACTAGGGGTCACATTCATTGTAAATATCCTTAATTTTGTCCTGATGAAAGATATGTTCCAGCAGGCAAAACATATCACACAAAGATCCTCATGAATAATTTAACAATAATTATTTCTTTATGAAGGTATCTACCATTTACTGTTATGCTCTCTTCTTCGATTATATAGTTTACAAAGCATTTTAAAGCAACAGTGATAAAAGCATTGTATTGATATTTTTATTTCTTATAAAGATTTCTTTTCATCTCACATACACTAACGCTACAGATTTTATCCATATCAATTGATAAATATTTTGACAAAACGGCACCAATCCGTAAGTAGCGTAATTACGTCATCCTAAATATACAACTCATTCGTAAACGCGCTACAAAAACGCCATGTCAAACATACAAGAATGATAAATTGGGCACTGATGTAAACACAATACAATCCAGTTAAAGATATAATTTGTGTTGCTGAAACCTTGATAAAGTAATTTTTTTCTTATTATTTATTTTGTTTAATAACTTCTATATCTCAGCAACAGTAGGGTGCGAAGTCTAACATCGTTATACAAAAATCGGCACGGGAAATATTTTCCGCTTAAAAAAATTGCATTAGTGATCTTCCTTGTTTAATCTTGTTTGAAACCAACAATATCGGTCTTAGTGGTGTTTATCGGCTATTTAACACCGATCTTGTCGGTTCGATGCAAAAAGTTAACCATTCAGGCCAACTTATTATATTGAAAACATCATTATAATGATTTGTAAGTAATGGTATTTAAGTGCTCAATGTGAGTAATTACAATTTGTACGACGTCCATCGTCTGTTAATGTATCCGTGCGTCCGCTGTCAACTTCTTTACAAACGACATCTTCTCAGAAACCAATGGACCAAATCTATAAAAAAACAAGATATGTCGAACGACACATATGCCCCCTTTCTAGCCCTTGACTTACATTATTGGTAATTTTGTTAGGGATACTTGCCATAAATGTGTTCAAGGAAGTGTTCAATTATGGAAAAAAATAATGAAGACTTTGTGATAAATAGTTTTCAAGATAATAAGACATTTAAAGCCCCCGTGACCTAGACTTTTGAAGTGTGATCCAAATTCAATAGGGGTCATCTTATAGTTATGACCAATCAATATTAGAAATATGAAGACTTTGTGATAAATAGCTTTCAAGATAATGAGCGGAAACCATACTTACATTCAAGGCCCCTGTGACCTTGACCTTTGACATAGTGACCCTAAAATCAGTACGGTCATCTACTATTTGTGACCAATCACCATGTGAAATATGGCGACATTATGATAAATACTTTTCAAGATAATCAGCGGAAACCATTTTGACATTTAAGGCCCCTGTGACTTTGACTTTTGACTTAATTACCCTAAAATCAAAAGAGTCAGCTACTAGTTATGACCAATCACCATGTGAAAAATGATGACTCTTAGATTAATACTTTTTAAGATAATCAGTGGAAACCATTTTAAGATTCAATGCCCCTGCGACCTTGGCCTTTGACCTAGTGACTCCAAAATTAATAGATGTCATTTACTAGTTATGACTTATTACTGTGTGAAATATGACGACTTTGTGATGAATACTTTTCAAGATAATCAGCGGAAACCACGTGGTCTACTGACGGACAGACCGAGAGACCGACATTAGCAAAACAATATTCCCCTTCTTCCTCGAAGGGGGCAAACAAATTGCTGGAATGTTTCTAACATAAATCTCTACTTATATTGTTCGAATGGGTTTTGCTCGACAGAAGGTTTAAAATAAATTTGTGAATAAATTCTTTAAGAATCTTTTCCCTGAGAGTGGAAGGCCTAGAGCTTAGATAGATCGTATGAAGCATAATGTAATGAAATTCTACAAAAAGTTATTAATTATAGCTCTGGAATTAAAATTTGTCCGGCCCAAGGTGTCATTGATTTTCATTATATGTATAAAATAAAAACTTTAAAATCATCTTATCTGAATTGACAAAGAGACGAGAGGTTCAGAAATTTGCATGACACATTGTGTTGTGGACCACTCCCAAGATTGTTCAAATTATAGCCCTGGGGTCAAAATTGGCCTATTCCCGAGGGTAATTGATAGTCATTATGTACATAATATAGTTAAACCTTGAAAAATCCCCTTCTCTGAAAGTGCTAAGCATAGACATTAAAACTCTACAGAAATTGTTGAAATTTTAGTCCTGTGCGCAAAATTGTCTTATCTCCAGGCGGTCAATGGTTTTTCTTTAACACATATTGTAAAAGAAACCTTCGTTGATTGGCAATGGCTAGAAATTAGATATTTTTCGTGAAACGTTGTGTTATTGACCGCTATCGGATTGTTAAAATTATAGTCCTTGAGTAAAGTTGGCCCGTCAAGCTGGTCAATGATTATTATTATGAACATATAGTGAAAGCTTTACAAGTCTTATTTTCTAAAAGTACTAGGCGTCGTTTTGCTGTGTTATTTCCCTTCTTTGAGAAAATCCACTTTAACCATGACCTTTGTTTGGCCATCAAGTCGTCGGATGTCTTTCAAGAATTTACTAGAATGCACTATAAACACCAGTGATGTCGCTCTGTATTGTCTTCAGAAAACATATAGTCTTTATTTGGTGTTTCTTGTCGCTATTGATAAAGATTATTCATCAGTTGGTTTTTGAAGGAATCTGCATAGGCACTTGCTCTAGCAGCATATCATGGTAATAATTAAGGATGAAATATGCTGTAAAATTTCATGTCAGCAAATAATTTGCGTTGAAAATGGACCTATTTTCAGTTTTATCTCCTTTGGTATGACAAATATTAACAAAATCTTGTCCAACACCAGTATATATATGTTTGTTGAAATACTTTCAATTTTTTCTACTATCGAATATCTTGAATACTTTACGAGCGGATCGCAAATGTCAGCCGAGGTATCGAAAGCTATTCACTCATAATCCAATTTCAGCGCGGTCATGGTTTATTTAAAATTAACTGACATGTTAAACACTCTGAATCTGTTACGAGGGTAATATACCGGCATGTATAATGTATTGTTTACATGCATGTCTTATGTTTTTGTTTTGTTAAAATACCCCCATTCGTTTTACATTACTACTTTTTTCTTTTTTAAATTTTCTCGTCCTATTTTTTTCCCCAAAATATTTTCAATTAAAAATGCTATACATGATTGTTTTATAGTAGCAAATGAAGTTTAATTGTTTTTTGGGTATTACGATTTTTATAAACCCTTTTATTTAAATCAACTTTAAAAAATATACACATATTATTTTTTATTTTTAAAATTTGGGTATTTTAAATTTTGCAAAAATTTATTGGAATCTTCTAACACAATTTGTCTTATTTTAAAAAGGAATGTATTAATGATGTATGGAAATCTGCATTCGTTACTACAAGTAAAACTGGATCTTTCTTTCATAAACATCTGCCAGATTTTAAATGACACCATAATTTCTTTGTTTGAAGTCGAAACAGGTTGTTAAAAAATACCGTGTAGTAATAACCAATATTTTCAATTATCAATTTGAGCATAGTACATCTTCAGGAAATGCGATATTAATTTTTTGATATATACCAACATGAATAGAAATCAAGCCGAATGATTAAGAAAGACTTATACGACTTAATTTCGATTTAACTTTAACTTTAAGAAAACTTTCAAACTATCATCACTTAAAAATGTTCAAAAATATTGAGAAAAGAAATACGGCATGAAACATCATATTCAGGATATAGAAAAAAATATTGGCAACACAATATAAAATAAATTTGAAAATATTCACAAAAACATTATCTTTATTAATCATTATTGCAAATCATACGTATGTTAATCGCTATTTGTACTGGTTTGTTAATAAAAAAGGTTGAATTGTTAAGAATTATATGATCCGTTCTTGTGGAGGAAGAGCTCAGGGGCCCTTTATTACATTTATTAAGACACGAACGAACACCTGAGTAGAGCCACCGACGTTCCGTAAGCTAGCTAGAAAGCATATCTTATGAAAGAGTCCAAAGTTCCTGTCGGGATTATTCGAACCCTTAGCGGTGAGGGGCAAGATGTGTTGTTGCAAAACTAAAATTTGGAGAAGCAGGAATCGTCATATTACTCTTACTTATATTTTGTTTCATAGTCAAATTACATTAAAACCCTTCATTTAAATACGAAAACGTTGAACATACAATGTAATATCAAATCAAGGTTAATAAACTTAATATATTTAACAATAAAAATTCCTGCACAAACTATTTTTCTACTGGTGATAACCAATATATTCGTCTTAATTCATCCAATAATTAACTTGTCATTATGTTAAAAATAAGATAAATATCTTTCTCTGAAAGCTTTTGAAGGTGTGAAAAAATCCTCTATCGAGTTATTGCATAGTTACTCAAAACCAGCCTTTTGGTTTTTCTCCTTTAAAAAAGGTATTCAGACATGAGGGAATTGAACGCGCTCATATTTTCTTTTCACTTTTTTATCTGACTTTTTGTCTTGTTTTGTGTGCATAAATGTCATTTTTTTAATGTATTCAATCTATGTCTTATAGATGTATGTTATGGACAAAAATAACGTTCTTATTAAATGCATAATTGAGAAGAATATCCCTGTAAAGAGCATTTCACAATGACTCTTAACCTTATAACACAATCACTGGCCCATGTTGGTAGCCAATTACAGTGTTTTAAACTATTGAGTCTGTCCAAGACTCAAAGTCCTACTGAAGCTCTACGGTTGAGTCATGTGGTTCATTAAACATTTTCTCTCCTAAAAATGTACTCTACTATATCGTTACATTTTACCAATCAGTAGTTCATTAAGAATTAAAAAAAACTTATCAAAGTCGAAATATATAATTAAAAAGAAAAAAAGAAATACTGAAAATCAGTAAAGTTGAAAACTATATTAAGTTATTTGGTTTTATCACTAATGATTCTAAAGATGACAAAGCAAATTTAATTGTCATTCACACTAATGTTTCTGTTTTTTTTTTTTTTTTTTTTTTTTTTGTTCCTTTTTTTCTTCTAAAGCATCCCGGCTTTTAATGCAGCAATCCACATTTTAAGATTTTATTCTTCTCTTTCAATTGTTGTTACTGTACCGACAAAGACATGGTTTATTGCAATATTTTGATTACACCATTTTTTCAAACAAAGAGAGATAAATAAAGCCAAATATTTGTTTTAGAATCCTTTTCGTATGCATTGTATGCCTTTTTAATTGTAATTGCCAATTGTATGGATTGTTCTTCTTTCTAATATTTTTCAAATTGGATTTTTTTTGTTATGAAGCAATCGATTCTTAAATGACTTTTAATTAAACACATAATTTACTTAAGAATTACTCAATTTATTTTGTAAATTTTAGTCCTGAATAAAAAGAAACATGAACAGACATCAGCTTAACACTGCGGGACCCATTTTGAATATTGTTATGTTGCAAAATATTCTTTTTTTACTTTTTTGTTTAAATGGATATTCAACGTTTATTTAACTTTGTATACAAATAATGGACTAAACAACTTTCTGTTAACCAGGACAAAAACAAACATGGAACCAGACTATAATAAACTCGTGTCTCCATCTTAAGGGGCACTTTTTTGCACTGAACAAAGGGCATCGGTTCAATGTGCTGTTACACTGCATTGTCATAAAATTCTTCCCTTTTATTAACCTTTAGAATCTAGACAAAAATGTTTGTTTTTAACATTTTCTTTTTTTCTTATAACTTCTTAATAAGCCGCTGCAATATTTTAATCGGGATTATAAGAATGACCTCCGCCTTAACAAAAAAAAATAAGTTGGTACAAGTGATCATTATTATCAGAAGATGTGTAGAGCGCAAAAATAGGTTGATACCCTAAAGGTCAAGGTCACATTTAAAGTTAAAATATTAAAATGTTGACAATTCGTGTCCGCTCCATAACTTTTAAACTGCTGAAGAAATGAAATAATAAGGCACAAGTAAACACCATTGTGTGACGATTAGAAAAGCGCAATAATCTAGTTGCTACCCCTAAGGTCAAAGTCACACATTAAGGTCAAGTTTTAAAAGTCTGTATTCCGTGACTGCTAACAACTTTTAAACCACTGAAAAGAATATATACAATATGCCTTGAAACAATAATGAGACAATATGCAGAACGTGCTAATGCATTGATATCTCCAAGATTAAGGTCACTTTTTAAGGTCAAGTGCTAAAAAGTCAACATTTCGTGTCCGCTTCATTACATTTAAATCGCTGATTAATTTTGAAATAGCTCGGAAGTAAGAACCATTATGAGACGACGAAAATAAATATTGAAATACCTTGGCACAAGTGAGAACCATTATGAGACAATGAGCAGGGTGCAATACATTGACTGCTACACCCAAGGTCAAAGACACTCTTTAAGGTTAAGTGTTTAAACGTCTTCTTTTCTTTTTCGCTCCATAAATTTTAGACCTCTGAAAAAAAAATGAAATAACCAAGCACAAGTGAGAACAATTATGGAATTATGTGCTGAATGCAATTGTAAGATTACTTTCCCTAAGGTGAAGATCACACTTAAACGTTAAGTGTTAAAAAGTCTATATTTCCTTCTGCATGATATCATTTAAACGGCTGCTATGTTTTAAAGCTTACTTGGCAGAAAAAAATCCCCATTATGACATCATGTC